CAAAATATTTTTGTAAACTTACTTTGTATATAAAGTATAAATTTGGCACGTTGAAGTTTAAGAAACCCCAAGTGCTTACATAACAGATACTTTTGGAAAGGACTATCTTGGCTGAAGTTGCTTTGAGTTGGAGCTTCTTGACACCCTTTTGCTGCCACCTCTGTTAATTCACGTTTCCACAACCACCCCTGCCTCTGCTGTTCCCAGATCCCCTCCTGCCCGTCCTACCTGAGGCGTTAAGGTGATCTGCAGAGGAGCATCAGGAACCACCACGAAGAGCCTCATGAACTGCGCGTAGTGGGGCTTGAGGCCCCGGCCCTGCGTCGAGGACAGGATGTAGAGGGGCATGTCGGAATTGAGGGCTTTCAGGGCGGATTCCTTCGGGCCCCCTCCCATCACCTTCATCACCTTGTCAGGCCCTGAGCACATGAACCTCCTCCCACGTGCATCTTCGTATTCAAAGCCCACGAAGGCTCGAGCGATGTCGTCCCTCCGCCGGCCTCTTCCCATCACCACCGCGCTCCTTTTCCCAGGAACGGCCTTGTTGGGTGCAGGCCACGAATTGGTGTCTAAGTCTCCTTCCTCCTCAGTCCTCGTCCTGATGACAATGTCCCAAGGCATTAAATAGTTTGTTCCCGGGATAAAGCCCTGTTGATCTAAGCCTGTGTGGAAGTTATAAGCCTTAGCAGGCCCCAGCTTGACCAGTGACCAACTGGAGAATTTGGGCAGAAGGCCTTTGGGGCAATTGGAATGGAGCATCCCGGGGAGATACTCCACGGTGGATGCCTGGCGATCCACCAGGCTCGGCCTCTTCTCGCTCTTGGAGTCCCCGCTCTGCCCGTGGCTTTCTGCATTGTCCCCTCCACCCTGGGCATCGGGTGGGTAAGTGCCCAGGCTGCCTGTGGACTGGCCCAGGCTCAGGGCTAAGCTCAGGCCTGTGCTCTCTCCCTGAGTCTGAGGTTCTTTCTCTTTGAGTTTCTCGATCTCGCCTTCCGGAGGGGCGGGTGATGACTCGTCGCGAGCAGGCGCCGGGTCAGGTGTGCTTGGCTGAAATATGGGGAAGTTGATGTGCTCCAGTTTTCCACAGCATTTCTCTTCCAGCAACTGTGAGAAAGAAAATGTGGTTTAGTATCCACCCCGAGATGAGGGAGCTCACAGCCACAACATTCAGCAGCTATAATTAAGATTCAAGAGATTTGCACCATGTGAGAACCAAAGTAGCGATGGGAACATGGCCCACAGACCTGATTATTTAAAATTCACATGAACAAAATTGATACGTTCACATGTGAACAACACATTCAAAAGTGTAAGCAGGTGCATAAACTGGTGCTCCTGTGCGTGTGCACACTGATCAAGATTGGAACTGCCCATCCTGGTCAGCCCATTTCTGCTCCCTGAAATGTCTCCCCCAAGCAAAAAGTTGGTAAGGTTAAGAGGAAACTTGTGGTCACTTCAGAATACAGATGAAACAGAAAAAGCACTGCTTGAAGCACCAACAGACCTAACAGTTACCTGGTAAAAGTCATAATTAGCTGCTTTGATATCAAAGGGGTCCTCCCGAGGAGCTTGCTTCCTTCCACAGTTACAGGCACCAGTGGAACGAGCCCGGCTGTTGTGGTACAGAATTGGAGGATTTCTGTCTGCTTCTGGCTTTTCCCCTAAAAGCAAAATCAATCAAACCTTGGGCAAGCTGCTCACCATTCAAAACTTTCTTTATTCCCTTCATCCACTGCTCCCTCCCTGCTATACATATATACAAAATGATTTGCCACCAGTTTGTCAAGCAACTCCTCCCTTTCCCACTTTTAGTAATACAAAGTTCCAGGGGAGGCTATACCACTAAACCAATCCTATTTGTTTTTACAACCTCTTCCTGAAGGCTCAAAGTTCTTCTGCCTGCAATAAACGTGCAGAAGTCAGTTCTGACTCCCTGATCAATTAGGTTATTTAAAATAAAGGGGGGATGCTTATGGTTTTTAGAGAACTACACGCCTCTTGTTAGAAGGACTCCAGTGTAATTGTTTTTAATTAGTAAGACAGAATCAGAGTTACTACTAAAATCAGAAAATCAGAGTAACTACAAAAATCAGTTACTACTAACAATGGACTGGCTTCTAAACATTACTCAACATGAAGAAAACCTGCACAGCAGCTCTGCTATGATCCCACTGCAGAGACGATCACAGAATCATTTGGGGTGGAAAAGACCTCTGAGATCATCCAACCTTTGCCTGGTCACCACCTTGTCAATTAGAGCAGAGCACCGAGTGCCACATCCAGCTCTTGAACACAACACTTTAAAGCTGAAAACTTTCATCTTGCACAACATTTCAGAGTCGGTGCTTTGAGCCTAAGACATTTCAAAGCAGATACAAAACCAAACCATGAAACCAAAGCACAAGTGAGCATCTTTACCTGCTTTGGGGAGCAGATGGAACTTGTGCACGCAGTGCTGGTCGGTCAAGCTCCTCTCCTCGCAGAGCTGGTGCCCGTTGCTCCAGAACTTGTAGCAGTCCTCGTTGAGCTGCATGGCGTATTTGTGGAAGGCTGGGCCCCGGGCATGCTGGCTGTACACACGCAGGGCCTGGGCCAGCTGGTTCTTGTGCACTGTCATGGTGTAATTGTGGGGCAGGTTGGACTGGTAGGCGCTGTGGGCCATGGGCAGAGCCTTCTGGCAACGGTTTTCGGAGAACTTGGTGTCTATGTCTAAGTAGCCTTCCAGAACTTTGATGCTGCTCATGATTTTTGAGCTCAGCTCGCCACAGGTCGGGTCATCGTCTTTGCCTTCGATGGTCACTTCGTAGAGTTTCAGAGCTGCAGCCACCCACTTCTGGTAGGTTGGGAGCTCGAAGTGAGAGGGCTGTGGGTTCCTCCCCACGCTGTCTTCAAAGCCCTTCTTGCTGAGCACCAGCTCCACGTGCTGCCACAAGAACTCCTTGAGGGTGCAGTCCACGAGCTGCCCAGAGGAGCTGGAGCTGGAGCTGCTGCTCTCTGCGTGGAAGGAGAGCTGCTGCCGGCCGTGCCTCATCATCTGGTACCTCCTGGGTCCCGACAGGGTGGGAGCCAGCAGCGAGTCAGGCTCCCTCATGGTGCAGTTGCTCCTGAGCTGGTCGAGAAGCATGGCCACGGGATCGTCTCCGTCCTGGGGCCCGCCAGCCACGATGTACACGAAGGCCTGGTTGGCGGGCACGGTGAACAGGCAGTTGATGCTCTGGTTTGTCAGCACCCGGCTCTTGCGGAAGATGCGGTAGATCTGATCCTCCAGAGCGTGCTGCAGCCTCCTCTTGGGGGAATGCTTCTTGGGGGGTGGCTTTTCCAGGTGACCACAAGGGTCCTGACCCCTGCTTGGCAGCGGATCCACCTTCAGAGCCCCGTTGAGCTGGAAGAGGAAGAGGAGGCGTGGAGGGCACGGCCTGCAGTTGAGTTTCCACTCCTTGCCCACCGGGCAGTCCTTGATGGCAGCTTTCAGGGAGGGCAGCACCTTCTGCCGCAGCCCATCCAGAGCCCTGAACACGCGGTCGTAGGTGATGTCGAAGGAGCAGGTGGGATGCACCAGCAGCAGGATGTGGCACACGGAGAAGAGGTAGAGGAGGCTGAGGCAGTGCAGCTTCTCCTGGTGCTTCCAGAACTCGTGCGCCTCGGCGTGGGGCAGCGGGGCCGGGCCTCCGGAGGGGTGGCCGGGCCCGGCCTCCCTGTTCTCGGCCGCCGCCAGGTCCCCGCAGGCTCGCAGCAGCTGCGGCGTGTCGCAGATGGAGGTGAGCACCAGGTACAGCACGCGGCTCTCCTGGCTGTAGTACGCCTGCAGCTGGTTGTAATCCTTCGTGGCCGGGTCTCCATCCTGCCCCGCGGCGCCGTCCGCCAGCTCGGGATCCTCCTCCGGGAAGAGCGGGAACACCTGCCGGTCGCACACGGTGCTCACCAGGGCCTCCTTCTCGGAGCAGAGCTGCAGCGCGGTTTTACCGAAGATGCCCACCACGCACACCTCCTCCTCTCCGCCCGCCGCGCCGCCCGCCTCGGCCGCCAGCAGCAGCTCCCGCAGGCTCATGGGCCCCACGGCCGTGCCCATGGCCCCGGGCGGCCCGGCCCCGGGCAGCGGCATCGCCCGGCTCCGCTCCCGGCCCCGCTCCCGGCCCCGCTCCCGGCCCCGCTCCCGGCCGGAAGCGGCGGAGCTCCGGCCCCGGCCCCGCGCATGAGCGGCCCCGCCCCGGAGGGCGCGGACACGGCCACGGGGTGTGACAGCACAGCGGGCACGGCGAGCAGCTCCGGTCCCCATCGCTCCCCAGGGTCCGGCCCGCACTGCTCTGAGCCCCGGGGAACGGGAGGAGCTCTCACGGACCGGGCCGGGATGCCCGGTCAGGGCTCTGCCATCGGGATTCACGCCCTGCCCCTTGGCATGAGCTGTGTCCGGCACAGTCTCTGCCCACCCCCCGTGAGCTGCACATGGAAGGAGGCTTTGAGTTCATTGCCTTTAAGCAGCGCAGCCTTTTAATAGCGATCAGACACCAGCCAGCAGTGATACACAGTGCAAGGGCTTCATACGTTTGTAGCCACAGAATAAATTGCTGAAGCTCGCAGCTTTCCACTTTAATAACATTAGTGCATTAAACTGTTGCTTTTCTTCGAAACTGTACAAATACCGTCAAGATATTTTTTTGTTCATGATATAAAAGATATAAAAATACTGAATTTCAGCAAACACGCACATATTTGTATGACAAGCAGCACCAGTGCTGGGAATATAATAATCCCTACTTCAGCAGCACCCAGGTGTCAAAAGACTTGGGAAACTTCCTTTTTTTTTTTTTCATTGTGAATGAAGATGCAACCAAATTGAGAGACATTAGAGAGGGATAAAAAGCACAATCTCCTTTACAGGGTTTCATAATGCCTCGTTTCCCTGTGCACTACATTTACTTACAAATACATGTGCCTGAGTGTGATAAAAATGGGATTCAAGTGGCTTCCAGACCACAAATGGAAAATACTCTGCTCCATAAACCTACTTTCCTTTTCACTTTTCATCAAAGCTGTTTGCAGCACTCAACCGTGCAGGTGAGGGACTCTTCGGGTGAGCCATCTGTCAAAAGAAGGGAAGGGTCAGAACTTGGATATCTGAGCTCTTTATCAGAGATAAAACAGTGCAATTCTTAGCTGACACCTTCAAACAGACACAACGAATCAGTAAAATAAAAGATGCTGTTAACCCTCACGTTTTGTTTTTCTGCAAAGTGGATATATGACTTCCAAAGTTGAATTGAGGCACCCGACTGGCCACCAAAAAAGCAATTTTTCCTTTTGGGATTGTCAAATAACCTGCCATGGAATGTTAATTCTGCAGTGTCATTCAATCAGTAGGGAATTCTGTGGATTTTAAAGCCACCTTATGAGTCCAAGAAGAGGGAGAGAGTGACTTGCCTGAAATTTGCGCCGTAGTGCCCGTGTCATTATTGGTGTCAGCCCAGAGCCACACTCAGTGTTTTCTTTACTGTTTAGAGGAGTGCCACCAGGACTTCTGAAAGGGTAATTATGATTAGTTTCTTCGGTTCTCTATTTCTTCTAGATTAAAAAAAAAAACAGAATTCAAGAGAATAGAAAGAACAGACCTTTGTATATCGACTTTCTTCAGATGTTTCCGAAGATCAATCTGATTTTTAGGAGAGGTACTAAGAGAATAAAAGAAATTGGTACAATGAAATGTTTGCCACTTCGTAAAAAGCATTAATCACTGCTTAAAACAGAAAAAATTAATATCCAAACAAGGAAGAAAGCATCTTACATTAAAGATTTTGTAGCATGAGCTGCTGGCTTGGATTTAGGTCTCAGACTAACACTCTGTAGATCTGTGACTGTAATTAATGCCCTGCGTGGCTTCACTGGTGATTGTTCCTACAGTAAGGAAAGAAATGTTACCCCAAATAAAACTTCAGAAGGTCTCACTACCCTGAAATTCATTTAATATTTATATTCTGAAAGATTTTTGTGGTTTATGGCTTTTATGCTTTTTTTAATTATTAAAATTTGAATGTGCCTGGGATAAAAATAGATTTATTTAGGAAAAAAAACCCAAACCTAAACAAGGTTTTTTTTTTCTGCAAACAAAGTTCCAGCTAGGCAAAAGAAAGTCCAAAAATCTACTGATAACACACAAATCTACATGAAAGCTCTATTATGCCAGGTGAGATTGGAATTTATCACTTTATTTCTTCCCTTCCAAAGCGTTATTGGAAAAAATAAAAAAAAAGAAGCAGGAAACACAGCAGTTCCAGGGTGGATTTCCCCTTGATTCACCACCACCTATTCATCCTCCAGTTTACCTTGTCCATTCTCAGGCTGCTGTTTGTCTTCTTCAGTTTAACATTCAGGAGGTCTTTGAGGGTGATGTGCATGGGCCCATCCTTTTTCACTGGTGGTGCCTGAAAGCAAAGGAAGGAAATTAGGAAGGGAAAGGGATTTGAGCACTCACAGAGAGTGATGTGCTGATGAATCCAGGTCCAAAAAGAACTCAGGCATGAAATAAAAAACAGAGGAACCTTGTGATTCCCTACCAGTTTAGAGGCTGTGCCCCGTTGGAGGAGGAGAGGTGCTGGAGGCAGTTTTGGTGGAGGCAGTGGTGGAGGAGGAGGGGGGATAGACACAGGCACGGATGCTGATGGTGGAGGATCCATCTGTGTCCCCACAGGAGCAGCCAGGACTGGCTTGTGACACCTTTGGCAAAGAGAACTTTCTGAAGACAAAGCTGCCACTCCGTTCATCTGAAAGAGACATAAATAAATAGAGAGAACATTAAATCCACCAGCAAAAGGTGGTGGGATTTTAGAGAAGAAAGGTGCTGGCTAAGGTTGAGCTATGGAGCTATTAACAGGTTCCTCCTGCTGTGAGGGCAGCTCTGAGTGCAGAGAAAGCCCCTGAGGAGCTGCTCAGATCTCAGTGGAGCTGCACTGACCACAGCTCCTTATTCTCACACAGATAAATGTTACAGGCTGAGACTGACCTGGAGTGCTCCTTGTAGCTTGGAAAATTCACTTTCCAACTTCTCCAGCTTCTCCCTGAACGTATTTAGTTCCCTTAAGTAGACTTGTGATGGAAATACAGTATCTTTAACCATCTGAAAGCTCTAAGCATAAAAAGAAAGCAGATTATGTGTATTTGTATGTTGGTTTTCTTCAGATGTTTCCAAAGACCAATCTGATTTTAGGAGGGGCACTAAGAGAACAAAAGAAATTGATACAATGGAATATCTCCCACTCAGTAAACAGAGTTAATCCCTGTTTAAAACAGAAAAATCTAATACCAAAGAAAGGATATACCTGTGCAAGCCTGCTCTGGCACCACCAGTACAGAAATGAAGCAGCTGTTGTCAAGGGTTTGACCACACTTTTTACACTGGGCAAGGCTAAAGGCCAGTGGGAGCCCTTTGGGACTGGTGTTGTGTTCAGAGGGAGAGGAGCTGGTGACCTGCAACAGAACGTTTCAGAATGAGGCCAGAATTTTATTTATCATCTCAGCTTTTAAAAAAGTTAACTGTGACCAATCATGTGGAAATTATAAGCAGCTAACAGCAGATAACAACAGAGCAAATGTGATCCCAGAAACCTGAAAAGGCCAAGATACATTTCAATAAAAGGTGTGGGGGGGGAAATCCTATTGTAAATAATTTTTTATTAAAATTGCTTTTCCTGGTTATTAATCATATAAACATTAGGGTTGCAAAAGATCTCCAAGGTCATTATGTCCAACCTCCCACTGAATAACACCAAAAGATATCATGAATTTCTACTTTTCCTCTTTTCCATGAGCCATTGGGAGCAAACAGCAAACCCAGGGATGGAGAAGGCAAAATTCAAGCTGAGCCTCTTACCGTGGAGAGGGACAAGCTGAGCCCTGGGGGGCTGCAGCCTTGCTCTTTTTTTCCAGCCGAAATTTTGCTCGGGCTCTTCGTTTTCGTTTGCATTTCTTATACCTTGCCATTACTGGTGAAAAAGACACATTCAAAATGGATGTAGAGAAATAAACTAAATTATACATTGCCACCAGAGAGAATAACACAGGCTGCACCTCAGAAATCCAGTCAGAGGTTACTCACAGCTGCCTTGGTGGAATTATCATGGACCAGTGACAGAAAATATATCCTTAATTTCATATGATCCATGGGGACGTGTTTGTGCACTGAAAGCACCATTTTACATTGGCTTCTCCCCCCTTTTCTATTTATATCATAGATAGATAGCATTAATAGCTATTATGAATATAATAAAAATATGAACGAATTAAATACATATGAAAAATAATAATAATATTACAAATATAAATAAGAAAGGGATTAGAAATATGATAAACTAAATAGAACCGCTATAACTATTAATACGTAAGCACAATAGATATTCAGTTATATAGATCCTGGGATGTTCAGTTTTTCGTTATCCTGACGTGACAAGTACTGAATTTGGGGAGAACGGTGACAAAAGACACGAAGAAGCCACGGGAGGATGCCGGGGGCGGCCCGGGCCGGTCCCTGACGGGTGATCGGTGCCACCCCAGCCCCGCTCACCCGGGACCCCGCAGCGAGAGCGGGATTTCCTCTGTCTCACTCACTCATACACACACACACACAGACCTGCACACACACACACACAGACCTGCACACACCTTCGGGGGTGTCCCGGGGCCGCCCCGTCCCCCCGGCCGCGCTCCGCGCCCGCCGCCGCTGCCGATTCAAACCGCTCCCCGCGCCGTGCCCAGCCAATGGCAGCGCCGCTCTCTGCCCGCACCCCCACGCGGAGGATGTAAGCCGCGCGCTGATTGGTGGCTGAGCCGAGGCGCGCCCGCGCTCCACGGGAGAGGGGCCGGCGCTGCCCCGCCCCGTCCCGGCCGCGCTAAGGCGAGCGGCGCCGCCATTGGACGAGCGGGCTCGGTGCCGCCAATCGGCTGCGGGCAGCGCTCGGCTGGGGAAGGCCGGCGGGGTGAACCGGGAGAGGAGCGGCTCCACCGGGGCTACCGGCGCAACCGGGAGAGGACCGGGGAGGAGGAGCGGCGCCCCCGCCCCCCCAGGGCAGCAGCGGACGGGCCCGAGCCGCTTCCCGCCAGCGCCGCGCGCCCCGCCCCGGCCAATCACGGCCGGAGCCCACTCCGGGCCAATGGGCTCGGCCGTACCTCGGAGCGGGTTTACATTCTCCGCGGGCCAATGGCGAGAGCGCCCCGCGAGCCGTGAGCCAATGGGAGGCGCGCGGAGAGTGACAGCTGGCCAATGGGCGCCGCCGACTCTCCCGTGCCGCGGCGCGGGGGGTGGGGATCTCCCCGCCGCCGCCTGAGGAATGTCAACTATTCAACATGGAGACGGCGGTTACCAGGCTCGAGACCCTGGTGAGGGCGGGCGGCGGCCGCGCTGAGGGGCGGCCGCGCCGCGGGCCGGCGGCGGCGACGCCTCGGAGGGCGCGGAGCCGCCGCGGAAGGGAGGGAGGAAGGGAGGGAGAAGCGGGCGCGCGGGCGCGGCGCGACGGAAGAGCGGCCGCTCAGCCGCGCCCGCGTTCCCCATCCGGGCCCTGAGCGCGGCCCGCGCCGCCCTCGACGGGGCGCCCGCCGGCCGCGTCCGGGTCAGGCGGGTTCGGCCGGGCCGGTCCATTCCGCACCCCCCCTCCTGCGGGGCGGGGCTTGCGCCGCTCCATTCACCCCTCGGCGCGGGGCAGGGCGCGGCCATTTCCCGCGCACCTGGGGGGGGCGGTGGGGGTGGGCGCGCTCATTGCCCGCCTTGCGGGGGGACGCGGCCGAGCCGGGCCGTTCCATGTCCGCGCGGCGGGAGGGGGGGTGCGGGCCAGAGTGGAGCTCCCGGACTAGTCCATTTTTTCCCAGAGGGGGGTGAGGGTGGAGCGCTCACCTGGGCTGGACCATTCTGGCCGCGGGGGGGAGAGGCGGGCTGGGCTGGACCATTGGCTCGGCGGGCGGGGGGAGCGGGGCGATGGCCCCTTGGCCCTCTCTTCCCGAGCCCCAAATTCCCAAATTCCCGTAGTTTTTCCAGCCTTTCTCTCCGTTCCGGTGCTCTGAGGCAGCCCCTGAAGCACGGCGGGGCTGTCCCCTATGGAATGATCGCCTCTCTGCCAGCCCCACTCCTGGAAAAGTGAAAAAAAGGCAAAAATTCACCTGTTAAAAAAGAGCTGTGCTGTGTTTCCTCACATTGGAGAGGCATTGGGGCAATGGGTCCCACCAGCCAAGTTCCTTGTGCCATCCCTTGAACCTTCATCTTCTTCCTATATAATCTTTTTTCCAATTTTCCCCATAATGTAAGCTTGATCTCTCCATATCTAGTATTCTGCATTTTTTTTCTAAGCCTAGTTTAATTTAGAAGTATGTTTAAAGATACTTGGGTTAGATGTTTAATTAATGTGTTTATTTGTTGTCATGGTTTATTTCTGTGCTTTATTGAAAGTCATGCTTTTAAGTGATTCTCATTTTAGGACATGTGAATAGAGAGGTGTTTTTGCCCCCTTTTAAGCTAACAAGGGCTTGTATTCTGGAATTGAGAATAATCTCACATCTCACAGCTTTGTGTCTCTTGCCTTTCCTTCTGCTTTGTTGTTTCCCTGTCCTGATTTCCTGTGAAGTCAGCTCTCTCCACAGAAGTGTGATAAAATAACACTTCTTATTTCCCTGGAGGTTTTGATATGAATTTCATGGAAAGCTTCCTTTTGCTCTCATGGAAGCAGGGATAAAGTAATTGGTGAGAGCTTAAAGAGAACAATGGATATGAAAATAATAAAATCAACCAGGTAATCAATAGTTATTTGTAACAGGAGCACCATAACAGTGCTAGATTAATTATGGAGAAGATCATAAAGCTGTCAATGCTTCATTCAGAGCAGTTCATTTCTGTCACTGCTTTTTGGGATCCTGCACCTCCTCTGTCCCTGAGTGGTGTCTGTCCAGTGCCCTTTTTATGTTGTACTACTGGTGATGATGCACAAAAAGCAGTGCAATGTTAAAAGGGCATTGGCCAGCAATACAATCTGCATTATTCTGTGCTCTTTTTAATGATATAAAAGTCCAAAATCACTGTCTGGGACCACAAGGTGATTTGTAAAACAGCTGTAAAATGAGATTGGTTTATTTTTTTCTTGCTCATTGTGTTTTGCTTCCTTGCCAAGGAGGAGCATTGGTCATTTAATAACAAATGCCATCATCTCTGTGTCCTAGAAATGGCCCAGGTGCCTCAGCTCCGTGTACATCAGCAAAAATCCCCCTCTCCCCACTCCATTCCCAGGTTTCTTGGTGTTTTGTTAAGGATTCAAACGCTGAGAGTCCTCCAGCTCTCAATATGAAATTATTGTTGTGTTAAAAATCCCCACTGAGGTTTGTGGAACACACCCTCCCTGTGATGGTGTTCTCACTCCCCACTGGTAAAGAGCATCCCCAGAGTTGGGAAAGAAGTATTTAAGTGAATTTTACTGTGATTCATCACCCACAAATTGTAAAGAATAAACTCTGCTGTCTAGAAGATATTCCCTGTAATGCAGTTTAGGAACATCTGTCTGATGGCAGTTTGGAATTTTAGCTTGCTACGAGGCAAATCCAAGCAGTAAATACACTTGGAAATAGAATTGCCAGTTTTAAAAGCACCAAATAGTTTGAAATTGAATTTCTGACAGATCTGTTGAGTGTTTTGTTGGGTGGTTGGGTTTGTTCCCCCTCATGATCAGTGGAATGGCAGATTATGAATAATAATAATAATAATAATAATAATAATAATAATAATAATAATAATAATAATGTGAGTTTTTGTGTGTGTGTGTTAGGACTTGGTGAGCTTTAACCTTATCCAACTCTTCACAATCCACAGAAACCTCTGGCTGAGTTGATGTTTTTTTTTTTTTCCTTTTTTTTTTTCTGGTGAGTGTATGATTGATTGTTGCCCAGAATTATTGCTGCTAACGAGTGCTCTGACTTTATTGCACTACTGTACTATACAGAGAGCAGTGCAATAGTATTGTCAAAGCATCTGAGAGCAGAGCCCTCAGCACTGGCCTCACTCTTGCCTCAGTTTCTAACATTTTCTTCTAAACCTGTGAGTAAATTACAAATTTGCACATCAAACCCTGCATTTTCTGTGTGATTTATTGTAAAATAATCATCCTACAGATGCTTCTGACCTGGAATATGAAGGGGGGGTGATTTTTACAGGTGGATGTTTTCTGAAATGCAGCAAGAAATAAATATTTACAAAATAAAAGCAGTCATAGTGGACTGTGTTAATCTCTTCACAAATCTTAAAATTCTAGCCACATTTAGCTTCTCATCCAGCTTTTAATGTCCTGAATCACAGCAGTAGCATGTTGGTTAGCTCCTTATGGAAACCCCAAATTACCAGTGTTGAATATTTAATGGGTCATTTTGAAAGCAGACCACATTTGTTCTCTGCTTTCCCAAAAACTGGTCAAATGGAGGAGCTGGAGAAAAGCAAAAAATGTTCTTTTTGGGGTGCCTGCCGTGGAAATGAAAAATACAAATATTGCTTAGTGGAGGAGAAAATAAAACATTGAGCAGTCAGGGAAGAAATCCCTTGTGAAGTCTTTCAAATTGTACAGTGTGCTGAAAAGTATTTTATTCTTGGATTTTGTCCTGGCTGGTTTCTGGGGCACGTGTGGGAAGGAGTTTTGCTGGGCAGATGGTGAATTATGGCAGCACTGGCTGAAAGCTTTCCCCTTGATTTATAGATGCTCACTAGATTTATTTTCCTTTTCTCGAGCTATTATTTGAAAATGTACTGGAGGTGTGTGAAACATCATCCATCTTCAGTCCCTCTGAAAGAGGCTTTTATTGGAGAGGGTTCTGGAGCAAATCCTGTTCCTTCAGGCTGAATTTCCAGATCCCCAAAGGCATTCATGGCCATTCCTTAAGGTGGATCCCAAGGCTGATGTTCAAAACATAAATATCCCTTTGGAATCCACAGACTCTGGATATTTCTTCCTTTATAACAAACACAGCCTTGCTTTGATCCTTTAAAAAAAATTTTGAGTGGTCACTTTGGGTTAATCTCAATATAAACAGTGAAAAGCAAGTTAAGGAAGTCACAACCATTTTTAACTTGCTTTCATCATTGTCTCTTCTGTGACTATAAAATCACTGAATTATTATGTCAAAGAATTAATGAGTTGCTTGGGAGCTGGGAAAACTGCCTTTCTTGAAAGTGGAAGTCTTTAATAGATATTAAAATTGCAGACTAAAATTAATTAAGTAGTAATGCTATCAGCAGACTGTTTTACAAGGCAATTAGACAATTCTCTGGTGGCTTATTTATCCCAAGGAAAGAAAAGTGATGTCATCAATTTTATGAGCTGTTAGTCAGCCTGGTTTATTGGGGAATAATAAAATGTATTGTGAGCATTAAAACCATCTGAAGGAGCACATCCCTAATATGATTATTAATAAAAGCTCTGATGATACTCTTGGATCCTGAATTTACTCATAATCTCTTCTGTGTAAATAACTGAGTGTTGTAGTTTTGCTAGCAGAACTCATTATATTTGAAAAAAATAAATTTGAAAACTTTTATGGTCCCTGAGCTTTTCACAGTGAGGCAGCTGCCTCCTGTTTTCTTGAAACACAGCTTGGGGTTTGTCTGCAGTTTTTGGGTTTTAATATACTATGCCTGACCTAAAATATTTTAGTTCCAGAAAGCAGAATCTGATCTGGATTATATTCAGCGCAGAGTGGAGTTTGAAATAATGAAAAATCTTCCTGATGATACAGAAGAGGTAGTATTTTCAGATTAAATTCAATTTTATTGCATGAAGTTGGAAATAAATGGGTATTTTTCTTTAAACCTGAAATATATGTGGCTGTTCATTCATCTACATGTTAGGTTATTATTATTAGTAGTAGCAGTATTAGTATGAAGTATTTCCTGCATCATATATCCAGATAAGTGTCCTAATGTGAATTCAAACCAAACTCCTTTGGTTTCTTGGGATAGTGAAATTCTCCCATGTTCTGCTGTGAGAAATCAGTGGTGTTAACACCTAAATGCAGGTCACAGATTCCAGTCTGAGCTAAAACTGACCCTGGCTCTGAGAGCCAAGATAAACTCACCACCAAGCAGTGACTAAATTCAAATCTGGGGAGAGATAAGAGGAAAGCAATAAATTACATCGTGTAAAGGATTTTATCAATTTGCCCTTTTCTCCTGTACATTTTCACTGTAAAGGGTCATTTCATGTTAAATATCTAACACCTAAACTTTTAACTGATGTGTGGCCACGTGAATTTTATCATCTGATGCAGCTGAAATGTTTTACTCACACAGGAGAATCCAGCTGCTCTCCTGAAAGAGCTCCCGGTGCTGAAATCCCGGTACAAATCCCTGTGTGCACAGATGGAGGAGATTTCCCTGGAGCAGAAGGAATCCATGGAGAGCATCCGTGCTGCCCTGGAGAAAACAATGAAGATTGTTCAGGCCCTGCAGCAGCAAACCGGGCTGGAGGTACAATTTTTATTTTAATCATTTTATTTTCACTGCTGGGGGATGAACATGAACTTTGTATTTATGTACCAGGCGTGGTACCACTGGAAAGTGTTATTTGTGCAGACTTTTAAAATACAAGGAGACAGTTTCCCAGAAGGAATGCTGGCAGGATTGGAGCTCTTTTTTTAAATCCTATTCCCCAGCAGATAAAATGGGTGCTGTTCAGATTTAGGGTGAAAATTTGGGTTATTTCTTAGGAATCAATGCCTCTGTGCACAGCTGTGTCCCAGGGTCACACTGACAGTTTTTAGAAGTAGACACCTTAAAGAAAATACAAAGTGAAACCAGTTTTAAAAGGCTAAAAAAGCTTTATGGAAATGGAAATGTATTTTCATGGAAAATGGAAATGTATTTTCATTAAATGGAAAATGTATTTTCAGTGTCTAAAGGGAGAAAGTTAAAACCATTGTAACAAACACCCTGGGATTGCTGTTATTCCAAAGCTGGTTTTCCTAAGACAATATTTAAATTGTTAAAAAACTCAGCAGCAAACAACATTTTCTTAAGTGGTCTTCAGACACTATTGAAGAGGTGGAAGCATTAATTTTGACCCTTTACAAATGAGGTGGTTTAGATCAATGTTCCAATGACAGTGCCTGGAGATTGGATTTGATCTGTTAACACCTCTGAGCAAGTTACTGGTAACATTTGATAGATAAAATGGGCTGTATCATGATTTTTAAAACAGTGGTTATATGTCATAGAAAGAAAAATAGATCATATCTTATTGTGTTTCAAGGATACTCTGCCCAGGATAATTTTGTACTTGGATTTTCTCAAAGTGGAAAACTTTTCTTTAGTTACATGTAGAGCTTTAGGTAAAGATTTTCTTGTACTTTTTATATTTCCTAAACCAAAGATTGATTAAACTTCTGGAGAAATGTAAGTCTTTAAATGAATTTTTTGTTTTTAATTGAAAAATTTATCTTACTTGCCTAATTTATTGGTGCTAGAGGAAGATTATGGTTGATTTTTCAGAAACATTTTGCTTGTAAATGTGCTTTCAGTGGAAGGAAATCAGGAATTTACTGTCATTTTCCATGAGCAAAGGACTGCACAAACATTGAGTCCCTCTGTAAATACCATCACCTCAGGAACTGAAGGATCAGACTTCTCTGTGTTTGCTTTTCTTTTTTATTTTCCCAGAGCTTACCTCTGTCGGCAGAAGAACTGAGTGCAGCCCAGCAGTTAAACCTGCAAACTGGGAAAGCAATGGAATTTTCAGTGGAAGAGGTAATTAGGGCAGGGAATGTCATTATTCCAGAAACCTTTCATCCTGAGAGCAGCTCAGCTGATTTGGGGATTTGACACCTCTCAAATGAATGGAATTTTTCAGAAATGGGATGAAGTTCCTTAACAAACCTTTTCATTTTTATTCTATACAGATTAAGCTTTTTTTTAATTGTTCCAATTAGATGGTCCACAAAGGAGAAATTAGCTTCGATGGAAGAATTTGTTCCTGTTATTTTTTTTTTAATTGGGATATGTTTATGTTTCATGTCAGGGATGCAGTTGGTTGCTCTTGTTGATCTTCTTGATAAAGAAACATTTGGGTGGGAGTGAGGGATGTCATTGATTCAAACCAATGTGGGGAGAAATTTAATTTCCTGTGGAATATTACATTTTGGGATATGAATAACAATCTATTCTAACTGGAATGCAGTAGAAATTAGATCTAAATTAACATTTGTTAAAAAGTCAGATATTCTCCCATAGATTGATATGTAATTATCCAATATAATTACATATTATTAAAATTACAATTATCCAACATTATTACATTTTATTTGCAAATATTTGCTCTGGGTCTCATACTAAAAATATTAAAGAAGATTAACAGAGGGTGTTTCTCTGATTGACCTTTTTTTAACTTCTCCTCACTTTGTGTCCCTTTATTGCCACATTTGGTTGGCATGGAACCTCTGCAGTTCCTGCAGCTTCCCTCAGCCTTTGTTTGCAAATATCTGCTCCTCCCTTGAGAAATGTTCTCGATTTATGTCCATTGCTAATTCTGAATTATGTGCAGTGCTTTCAGATCCATGCTGGAAAGCTGGAGAGGCTCATCTGACTTGCACATAAATCTTTCTGTATCCATTTTAAACTTAATTTTATTTAAAACTGTCTTTAATCCCTAAGATTTTGCTGTTGAATTCAGTGGCTGCAAGATCCTTGGTTATCCAATGGTAGAATGTAATTAATGTAAATTGCATGCAGAAATGAAAGTGTAAAAAACGATTTCTAGGCAAAACACTAACAAATACTGACATTATTGTTTATTTTTAGCCATCCTGCCTAGATTCTACAGTCCCTGACTCAGCTGAAGGTAAGTGCTGAAAAAATAAATTTAAAAAAAACCAAATAAACTTCTCAGTGTTTTCTTCTCATAGAGGCTGTGATAGGCAGTAACTTCACAGTTTTCACTCTCAAGCACCAGTGTCTCTGCTTTTATGTGAAGAATTTAGCCTTTACTAGAAGGACCTGACCCCTTAGTTACATTCCAGGAATAGTTGCCATGTTTCTGGGATTTTTTTTTTCCTTGCTTTCAGTAGGATTGAAGTGGAAAACTTGTTGTGTTTATGGTCTGGAAGAAATGGTGCACTAATCTTACCATAGAAATAGCTCTTTTAAAATTCAGTTATCCCTGCTTATAGAAAGGAATTTTCACAGTTGGTTTTGGTTTGTTTAAAAAAAAACAAAAACAAAAAACCAAAGCCAACTGGTCATTGACAGACCAAATTTGTCAATCCTCATCAGATCTCAAATTAAATTTTGTTTTACTGAGTCTCCAGATCCACTGATTGTTTTTTCTCTCCTTTCTCTTGCTGAAAAATCTTCCTTTAGTCTCACCTCGGGGTGTTACTAAACATGAATGGAAGTACTTTTTATCTTTGACTCAGTTTCTGAAGAAACAATATTTTCTATTTCCTTTTTTTCAACAAATGTCTTCTGTTTCCCATTTTTTAGAACCCCAGTTCACACCATTGACTGAGGAAACATTTATGAGTGTGCCCAGGAGCACCAGAAGCACTGTCAAATTAGCAGACTTGAACCATTTGTACAAGGAGTTATTTAACCACTTCATTGTACAGAACAACAGGTAAGGCTCAAAGCCATTCATTAAAAGAATTTTATAAATTGTAAAGCATTTCAGCATTTTTAAATTAAATAAAACCAGCTAGTTAAGCATTCACTGCCATATTGTAACTTCAAAAAGCATTACATTAAAAAAACCATTAAACCATGACCCCCAAACCCTGCATCCACTCACCAACCCCTCCTGAGCCTTCTCTGGGGTGAGTACTGGGGGTTTCTTACAGGCTGATGTTACAAAAAATTTAAGTTTTAAACTCAGGAATTCTGTCTTTTTAACCCTAGGACTACCAAATGACTGCTGTGATTTCAAGTAGCATAGAAAAGTTGATGGTAATCTGAATAAATTGGAGATTTACAGAGCATTCACAAAAATCATTGATGTGCTTTTTTAGCCTTTTTCTGCCAGACCTGATCCCTGTTTCACGAAATTGTTTTTGTCTTACAGAGCAGCCCTGAGTATTTCACAGATGAACAAAATGAACATGAAAGCCACTGACTCAAGAATTAAAATCCTGAAGGAACTGGGGATTGTGGAACTCGACAAACAAGGAAATGTTAAATTAGCTGTATAAATGAAAGCTCATCTGACACAGAAACATCTCGGCCACAGCTCCTGGATTATTAAGGAACAAGAATTTCTCTGGAACAGGAATTCCTGGTCCACTGTAGGGAAGTTGTTAATGTTTCTGTATAAACATTCTGTTGATAATACTTGAAATTGGAGATTTTAGAAACACTGAGGTTGGCATTTTACCTTGGCTGTTTGAAGGATTATGGTTGGTTCTGCATTTTTAAGGAATGTTGTGAGCCATGTGAGGCTTCCATTTCCTTGCTGCATTCCTGAGGGGGTTTTAAAGGCAAATATTCCAAGCCTCCTAATTGTACTTGCATTCCTGAATAAAGATTTATACTTTAATTTATGTGACTGCTGACCCTGCTCTCTGCCCCGACTCCTGATCCTGATTTATTTTCCTTTAATATGAATTCTTTTGGGTTTTTTACAGTCCAGCCAGGGTCAGAAGGGATTTCTGGGCACTGTCCAGTCCAAACCCCTGCACTGCAGCTCAGGGCAGGGTCCTGAAAATTCCCAAGGATGGAGAATTTGCAATCTCTGTTACACTGTTAGACCACCTTGACAGTGAAAAACATAAGATTTTTTTCCTTATGTATACTATTTCTATATTATATATATTATACATTATATAGATATAATTTTAATATTTGTAATTATATTGTTGTATTTCAGCCTGATTTGAGAGAGTAAGATACCTGAATTTTTGTTAAGTTCCTGTGGGGTTTTTTTCTGAAAAATTATGTCTGTTAAAGATGAGAAATTTAAATTAGTGCTCTTAGGGAGGGGAAGGCTGGTTTCTGAGCTCATCCATGAACTGTTTTAGGGTTTGATGGGAAGAGAAACAGGCTGGGTATTGAAGAGGAAAGAACACGGATAACTTGATTTTATAATGTCTGCTGCCAAGTGTGCCCTTTTACCTGGAGTAACTAATCGGTTTCAAGCAATTAATCAGTTTCACCAACTGATTCAGTAGCTTTTAATCACACTGATCTTCTAATAGAGGGCTCAATCCTTGCTGTGCCACTACCATCAGCAGCGTTAAATATTTAACGCATTGATGAACGGTGGCTGTAATAAATGCCAGCGGGTTGCGGAAATCCATCCCCGCTCCTTAAACCTCGCCGGTAAGGAAGAATAAAGAAAAATAATAAAGAAAAAATTGAAAAATAAAGGAAAATATTAAGAAATCCAAGCGCGAGGCTCCGTCCCGGGCGCTTCCCCTCAGGCGCTGCCGCCCCTCACGCGGCCACGCCCCCTGCGGGCGGCCCCGCGCATGCGCAGCGCGGGCGGGGCGGGGCGGCCGCGCTGCCGCGGTCACGGCCCGGCGGGTGCGCGGGGTGCGCTCCCCTCAAACCCCGCTCCCCTCGAACCGCGCTCACCTCAAACCCCGCTCCCCTCAAACCCCGCTCCCCGCCCGCGGGCACGGACAGCCAGCCCGGGCACAGCCATCCCTCCTGCCGCCGCTGGCGGAGCCGCAGCCATGGACGAGCAGAGCGTGGAGGTGAGCGGCGGGCGGGCGGGCGGCGCGCGCTGCCTCAGGGCGGTGAGGGGGCAGCGGCTGCGGCTTCTGCGGTTTAGCGGAGCCCCTTGGAGCGTCCCTGTACCGTGTGTGAGGGGGGGAAAGGCCGAGCGGTACCGAACGGTGGCGGCCCGGGCTCTGAGGGAACAGCCTGCGGCGCTGCGGGGCTTTGGCTCGGGTGGGGAGAGGGTCGGAAATGAGCTGGCGGAGCGCTGCAGGTGCCGGATCCGGACGTGCTGGATCCAGGATGGATGGAGGGATGAAAGGATGGAGACCTGACACACGCAGAACCCGCCTTGGCACCGTGGAGGTGCAGAAGTGGCTGTGACCCGGTAGCTCAAACACCTGCTGGGAGCTGTGTCACAGCCAGGCTGGGGACAATGTAAAGCACCGGCTGTAAATTACCCCTGTAAATGGATATGGTGCGTTTCGATGCTCGCAGCTGTTAGAGAAGACATTAATGTGTGGGAGATGCTGTGGCATCCGTCAATTGAAGATGTCTTGGTTTTGTGCTGATTCACAATCTCAAAGCTGTGGGGAAAAAAATCAGCCCACCTAAAGGATCTTATGAAGTTCCAGAGTTATATCCAGAAGTATTATAACTCCTGTATGATGTAAAACTTCATTATCAATTAAAAATTATCAATATGGAAAGCAAACATTGCGTTCAAAATGCCTTTCTCCTTTGGGGAACGTTTTTATCATCCAAGATTGATTAATTGGGGTGGGGGAGAGTGTAGAAATTATGGAGCTAGTGCTAATGCTAATGGTAAAGCTTAAAAGAATACAAGTCTTATAAAAGTAACAAAAATACACAAGAGGTATTGAATTGGGTATTACACATGCACGCACTTACCGTGATTTAGGAATAGTTTAGTGCCAGTGCACTGTCTGCAGGTACCACACCATTTCTTCTGGCAGCTGCTCAACCCCGTGTGAACACACGTAGGAATATTTTGGCTGCAGAAGGGCCTGCTCCAAAAGAGATAAGACAAACAGAAGCCATTCCTTGAAGAAGGAGAGAGCAGTGTTATAAAACAGGTGCTGGTGCAGTGTAGAAGCCGAGGGGGAGGCTGTGGTGTCCAGGTTGTATCTCCCTCAGAGATGTGTTATTTGGAGCAGGGCTGAAACCTGGCACGGTGCCTGGAAAACAAAAGCAGCCCTGATGTGTCTGAGTCGTGTTTAACAATAGTGCTAATCCCCCTTTGCAGAGCATTGCCGAGGTGTTCCGATGTTTTATTTGTATGGAGAAGCTGCGGGATGCCCGCCTGTGCCCCCACTGCTCCAAGCTCTGCTGTTTCAGCTGTATCCGGGTGAGTTTGCTTGGTTTAGTCTATTCTTTCAAAGGTTTGAACTGAAAACTGACTGAGCTTATGAAAACATTCTTTTCCTGCAGTTCCAAGGATTCCTTTTTTTTTTTCTCCCTCCCTCCTTTAGTTTCCCTTTCAAAACCTTTTATAACACCCCTGAGGAAGAAGTAGGCAGGCCGTGCATTGCCTTCAGTGGTGCTAATTATAGGCACCATCTGGAATAATTGCTTTAAGGAAGAGACACACAATGATCCCTCCTTCAGTGCCTCCAGAGAGTTGGTGATGCATGTATGGAAGGCAAAAGTTGGGACAGAAATCAGATGCTGACTTTGCATCTGGGAAGGTCACAGCATCACCTCCTGTGTCCTGGAGGTGTTTTATAATGTCAGGCTGGTGTGGTGTGATCAGGTGGGGCCAAATCTTTCTCAGGGGAGTCTGAGGCAGCAGCTGAATCCTCATTCCTTTGTTAAGGCCGTGGTTCCCAGGGTATCACACTCCAGTTCCAAATCCAGATGCTGTTTTGTGTTGCTGTAGCAGCAAAAGGTTCAGCTGAGGTTTCCAGACCTCCAGTAGTATTTCCAGAAATTGGAACAGACATTCATCCTTCTCTCTGGAAGCTCTGACAAGAGCTGGAGGTGAAGGATTCGTGCTGCATATTAAGGATTTCAGATGACATATTGTTGCTGGGTGGTGAGAGATTATTCATGAGACTCTTTAAATGTAGTAGAGAGCTGACAAATATAAACCCATCAACTGCTGAGCTTTTACACTTGAGAGTTGTAGTGGGTAGGTGAAGTTCTTTGCTCAGCTGTTTGTCCCTGGAGCTTTCTGGAAGAGAAATATTCCTTGTGGTTTCGATCATTGAACTTCAGGTGTTTAATTTGTCTATAAATAACCCAAGAGGAAGAAATAAATTACTTTGAAGACTAATTAGACTGTGAAAAAGATGCTTGTGGTGTCTTTTTCTTTCCTTTATTGAAACATGCTCTTTAGTCTAAGGCTCTGGGAATCTGCCAGGTGGGTGGTTTCTAATGCAATATTTGGTACCTCACAATTCCTCACAATTCAGTATAATTTTAACTGAAGCATCTCTGACATCTAAAGACAAGTGGTTGCTGTTACTAAGACACAAATAGCAGCTTCTTCTGTGACTAAGTGGTTGAACAGTTAAATTGAAAATTTGTTAGAAAAGGAAAAAATACAGGAAAGTTGTAATAAAAATAAATAACTTCTAATTAATGGTAGAACATATTTACCTGCAGTTCTTTCACTCCAGTCAGTTTAAAAAGGTTTCTCCTTTTTCCATCACAGCGTTGGCTGACTGAACAAAGAGCTCAGTGCCCTCATTGTAGGTAAGGTATTTTTAATATCAGGAATTGGGTGGATTGTCCTGTTATGATCAATCTCTTTTTCTCTTTTTCAGTGCAGGTTGTACTAAATTTATAAGCTTGAATTTTTTTTTTCTTTTGAGATCTGCTTGCTGTTTCTATAAAAATTGGCCCTGGTATAATATTTCTTCTAAAATGCATTCTAGTTTTGTGACAAGCTGAGCAGGATCTTTGTTCTTCCCACGTAACACTGCTGTGCACATAGCTGGTGTAATAGGAGTAACTAGAGGGAATTCCTCTTTATATTCTTCTTTCAAAAATCAGAGCCCAGGAGTGAAAGTGTCCATTTTTTATACCTGTAATTTGTGTGATGTGCCTTTGCAGTTCTTACCTCTCCCTAAATAATCAAAATTACTTAATTATTTTTTTCTCTTGAAGTAACCAGTACAACTTCTGCTTTTTTTTTTTTTTTTTTTTTTGCCTGTGACTCTTCTGGCAATGTAGAATTGAACTGAACTCACTTCAGTGCTTCTCCTTTATCTCCTGGATGCAAATTCCTGCTCTAACTGTGCCATCCTTCCTGCAGAGCCCCCCTGCAGCTCCGAGAGCTTGTCAACTGTCGCTGGGCAGAGGAGGTCACACAGCAGCTGGACACACTTCAGCTCTGCAGCCTCACAAAGCACGAAGAGAATGAAAAGGACAAGTAAATGGAGTGTTCTTTGCATCAAATCTTTTGTGGTTTGGTTTATAGGAGCTAATTTTAGTAATGTACTCTCTGTATCTGTGAAGTTCTTCTGGAGAGAATACTGAAAGCAGCTTTTATCTCACAAAAGGTTTTTATTGGCTGCAACTGTTCTTCCTGCAAAAGATGTTTAATGTTTTACTTGCAGGATTGTGTAGCAAAACAAGTGAAAATGTTAAACTGAGTGTAGAAAATTCATAGCTATTTTCTGTGGGTGATATTTGTATTTTTTTTGTTGAAGGTGTGAAAACCATCATGAGAAGCTCAGTGTTTTCTGCTGGACCTGCAAGAAGTGTATCTGCCACCAGTGTGCACTTTGGGGAGGAATGGTAAGGGGACACTTGCACAGGGTTTGAGGGACTTCAAACTTTATGTCTGACATTGGTTTTGAAGAATTAGAAATGCTGTGAAACTGCTGTTGTGGCTCTTGGATTGCCATGCAAATAC